TTTTTTTTCTTTGAATGTTGCATTGTAAAAACCACAAATAATTTTATTTAGAGATTCATGTTTATGTAATAAAACTATAAAGTAATTAGAGTGACATATAAGCATCAAGTCTAATGGTTATGATTTCTAGTTTGGAGAGAGAGTCCTAGACAGGAAGGTTGAGGAGCATATAGGTGATTAGTATTGGTATTAGTAAAAACTGATATTAGTAAAATACCATTTCTTTAGCTCAGAAGGGCACAATTAGTTGTTATTTTGATTCATATATTATATATGAATCTATACAGTTATGTAGTTTTCAATACTTCATAATGAAAATGAAAATATTTCTTTGTGTAAAGGGTAAAGTGTTAACAATTGAAGCCTAGTCAAAAGAAACAGCTTTGCAACCTTGGACGCCCTCTAGTGACTGTATTGGAGAAGTACAGTTAAGGTTTTCCATTCACTTAAATGATCCACTCAAAATTTTATTAAATTAAAAACAAAAGGAGAAGGAATGCTCCCCAAATTATTGAAGTTAAATAGTATGTTATACATCAAAATTTAAAACACGGGCTTACTCTTCATTCTCTCAAAAACAGCCCAAAATATATCTTCATTCTTTGGTAAGAATATTCCTTAAAATGTTTCAAAATTCAAATATACATTTCAAATAATAGTTTTTAAATACCTATAGAATTTTAAAAAATGGTCTTTTCCCTGATCTTCTCCCTTTAAAATTGTTAAATCACTTTACTTAATAGTAATAATTTTCTTATTGAATTTATGAATAAAAAAATCATACCGAGTGTCCCTTTCTCAGAACTCAGCTCTAATGTAATAGTCTTTGAGGCCTGTGGGTGAAAGAGATCTTTATAGATATCTGAGCTTCAGCAACACTAAGTTAATATTTTAGGAGATTTTTTCCATCCTGCTTTTTATTATAATTATTTGTATACAGAGCTTATGTGCCTATCAGATTTTTTTTTCAAGATTTATTTATTTGTGCATACAGAACTGGGGTACAGGCCAGAGGATCAGGGGTGGTGAGAGGCTTCACCAGAGACAGAGTGGGGAGCAGAACAGGCAGATCAACGAAGTACACTGCTGAGGGGAGCAGCAGGTGGGTGAGGAGAGGTCTGCCAAGCCATGTGGTCACTTCTGGGGCAGGCGGGAATCGAACTCATGCGGAAGCGGCTTTAGATTCTCAGTGCTGTGCTTTAACCCGCTGTGCCACCAGGTAGGGCCGCCTATCAGATTTTTAAGCAACATGAGGGCAGAATCTTTTGTCATTTTTATTTTTCTGTTTGTTCATTTAGCACAGAACTTGGAATATTTTGGATAATTTTTTCTAGTTAATTTAAGAGACATACTGTATTTTAAAACCAAGTTTAGTTTGAAGCATTTTATAGTTCAACCAAATTTGTCAAAAAAAGTTAGAGTCAGTAACTATATAAATGAAAAAGCATTGTAGGATGTAATGTGAAGGGTAACTAATATTAAATTTAACTAGATTGTGTCATAGATACAACTTAGATTTAAAAATATATAAATCTTTAAAAATCTGTTAAAATTACACTATGACCTTGCACAGAACCTGGCAACTAAATTCCGCAACTAAAAAGAAAGACAACTTCAACTTCCAGCAGTGTGCCTTGAGAAACCTAGGGAAGGAAATTTATGGCTTTCAGTATTCCCACTGGTAAAAGTGAAATTGCATGTAATATGTATATACATAATGGGAACAAACAAACCTGCAACACTCCTGAACAGTACTTGCCACCTACCCAGTCCATTGCTCTAGAAAACAGCACACTAGTACTGAATTTTTACTTATCGTGTTTTTAAAGGAGCTCAGTTTCACTAACTTAGTAACTATGTACTGTGTGTCTTAACCTGCTTTGCAATGTTGATTCCCCATAATCACTTTGCTTGGTGACATTTATGTCCACAGGCTTCAGATAAAGACACTGAGATCACAGATGAAGTGACTGTATTTGGTTCCCAAATTGTGCTTTCCTTTATGACAAATTGTAGTTATTTTTTTATGGTGCCCACAGAGTGCACACACACATACATAGAGACACACACACACTCCTATGTATATACAAATACACACACACATATATTCTTTTTTTTTGCTTCCAAAATTAACATTTTTATTAAATCAAGTTAAAAAAAAGTTCACTGTAGAAAAGTCAACAAGGGTCTTAACAAAACCAAAATATATCTTTTTTATACAATATATGTATATATTAGCAGCAAACTACTTCTGCGATTTTCTTTTATGTTCTTTTAGTTATATTAAAGAAAGCATAAACATGTATATTAGTATGGAATGTCAGCTAATCCACTCTTCCATTTTTTTCACTTGTGATTTGAGCCTTCTAGAACAAGTTATCTTACAATTTTTACTAATGACCACTAAGAATAAACCCAATTTTGACTAAAAAGTAGCGAAATAGTACAACCTGTCTCACTACTTCATAATCATGCATTATCTTTGAGGATAACAAGTGAGCACCATATAAACAGACAATTGTATGTGTGTGTAAACACAATTTTCAAGGTGTAATAACAGCCATCTAAACACTGAGGATTTGACTGTTACTTTTTTAAACATTTTGGATATACAAAATTTAATCAAATCAGATAAACATTTTAGTTCCATATTGTCTGTCCATTTTAAAAATCTTATCAAAAACATTGTATGTAACCTGACAAACTGCAATAATACATGTGCATATATATGTTTAGGTTTAAAAGAATTTCTAAACAGAGGTGAAGTCAATCCCACTTAGCTGTATATATAGAATATAATATCACCAACCAATAGTTCCTAATAAAAGTTTAATCTTAGTTAATCAGAAATACTGACTATTGAAAATTCTGAGACCAAAGAGCTATATATAACTCAGCTGCTTACTACACTCTAGGCTTACAAATTAGCCTGCCAAACAAAATTTGAAGATACCAACTGCCCACCAAAAAAAATTTCCTTTTGTATTCCCTTGTAGTAGCAAAAAGGAAATTATGAGTTTTCATTTTTTTAAATTATTAAATAAATCTAGTTTTCAAAAATATTAAACATTATATAAATACAATTCTTATAGTTGAATCCTTCAGCTAGAATCTGCATTAAAAAAAGTTTCCTTTGGATTGTTTCACTAGTACTTCAAGTTTCTATTCTGCAACTCTGATAGATGGCTCAGATCTGTTAGATTTATATCAATCACATGTTTCAGAATTTGCTACTGTGTGTTCCGTGCATATAAACATCAATGGAAGGAACTGAACAAAATTTCAAAAGGAACAAGGGAAAATTCAAGATGATATAATATAAAAAAGATAAAGTACAATAGGGATTCCTTTTTCACCATTACATTTGTGAAATATAATCCTTCTAATTCTTTTAAAGATGTTGTAACTTGCACTTCTTATCATGACAATGAAATTTTATAGATAGCTCACCTTTATTTTTCAATTAAAAACTAAAGCAATAGACTGAATTACTTTTATTAATATACACATCAAGTTACTGAAACGGCGACTTTTTCCCTTAAAGATGGCACTTGTAGGTACAAAGATGCAAAGATGTGTACATCTTTCAGATGTTTACTTGAAAAGATTCTTCAACAGCAGCTTGATATTGAGTTTCCTCATCTAGCTGAAGATTCACAAATTCTCCATAATCAAACTGATGTCTTTGATTTAGATGACTAACGAAATTTCTAGTAATCTGGCTAGGATCTCCCCAAGGAAGAGATACATAAATAGGACACGTTACAGGAACTACCTGAAATAGGTGATCCAGTAAACGCAGCCTGGTAAAATTTGATTCCTGACACAAGGGACACTTAAAGGTAGGATGTCCAGAAGAACTTGTATTCTCTTGGTAAGTTTCTGTGTTATCAGATGTGGATGTTTCACTCCTATTACTGTTCTCTACTGAATCTTGAGAGATCTGAAAGTTTGGAATGATAGTGGAAACACCTGATATTTCTTACAGGATTTGTAATGATGTCTCATGTGGTAAAATTTAACCTGTTTTGCACAGCATCTGCAGCTACCAGAAAACTTCCTCATGATATTTTCAAAGTCTAAAGTCCTTTCAGGACATGCCCTCTCTTTTCTAGTCACATTTCCACGGCAGAGGGGACAATGTACTCCGCTTTCTCTCACTGCAGTCAGGAAACATTTTCTACAGAAAACGTGCTGACAGACGGCGGTCCGCACGGGTGTTTTGAGCACCTCCCGACAGACGGCAGTAGAAATCATGTTCTGTGAAGGACATGGCCGCCGAGAGCTCCTGGGCCATGGTAAGGAACGGGGGGG